GGAAGTCTGTGCTTTTTATACAAACCATGTTGTCTCTGTATGGAATAATTCCAGTTAACCTTAAATATGTATTTTCTCTTTTTTCATGATAACAGAGTTAGGGCTCTTTACATGGATGTATTGTTAGCAAATAAATTCCCCAGTCTTCTCTGTATCTAAATGTGACAATGAGGTAATTCTAGCCAGTAAGGGAGTTAATAGGTAGTGAGGTCTTATACTTATTCACCATCCTTAACTTTTAATGGCTGGTCTCATTTTTCAACTTTCTAAGGGTGAGAAAGTAATGCACATTCAGTATAAACCATACAATGGCTTTAGAATTTTGCTCTTTTCCAGGGTTTGTGACATATGATCATATAATTTTTCACAATGCTGGGCAGTAGCACTGAGCCATAGCTCTCATCCATATGATCCGAAGGGTAAAAACCTGGCTCTGCAATCTACTGAGTTGCTAAGCTACAATACTCAACAGTTTAACAATATTAAACACATTTACAATTTACAGTATTTTCAGCCTATTATGGGTTTATTGGGATATAACACTATGATAAGTCAGGGAACATCTATAATTGTACATTGTCCTGGAATCCATTTAGTTGCACTTTCATATATAGAAGGAGGGCTTAGTCATTCTCAACACAGATTCTAAATTTCAATATTCTTCTAGTTCCTCAAAGTGATCGCTCCAGATACTGGCCTTGCACAGCTTTCTCCTGGTGACTACTTCCCTTTGATTCAACTTGGTGCAACATACTTAACTGTCCCACAGGCTCCCACACCCTTTGTATACTGTGCAGATGTACACCAGTGACCATCTCTTGGCCACTTGGGACCTTTGAGGAACATGTGACCACTTGCCTTTAGCCTACCGACTAGAACTCCTGTGGGAAACATATGTGTATACATGCTTGTGTACACTCTGGACCCCCATAAGGCTTTGCTCCTCTCTCATTATCTGTCTGCTGATTAAGCGTGCCTGTTCTACATGGTCTCTCCCTCTCTGTTGGCTCCCCTATCCCATATGTGCTGTACTTTCTCTTCCAGAGTATACAAGTTTATTTTATCTTATTTCATTTTCAGAATATACAAGTTAAAAAAAGAAACCTATTTCTAGTATTTTGCATGTTTGTGTGTGTGTGTGTGTGTGTGTGTCTGTCTGTCTGTCTGTCTGTCTGTCTGTGTTTAGTCTACTTTGGGTTTCACCTGGCCAACATACCCTAACCTGACTTTACTCCTGTCAGCACTCTCCAAGAAAGTGGAAATCTAGTTAGGACTACACAGGACACAGGTCGTACAAGAGCCACAGAGGCATTTACCTATATAAGCACATTTTTTTGTGAGAAGGACACTTAGGCATTGTACTCTCTACAAGGATATGGATCCATAACCAATGGTCCATCAAGGTAGAGTTATAGTTTTAAAATCAATCTCATGAGAAAAATCCCAAGGCCAAATGAAAGATACTATGTGCCATTTTTTAAGCTTACCCTTGAAATAATTATATGTGCATGTTTTAGTGACTGTCCTCATCCCTGGGACAAAATACTTGACCACCAAAATTTAAAGGAAGAAAGATTTATTTTGGCTTATATTTCAGAAGTTTTAGTCTTTTCATGGTTGGCAATATGTTGGAATACTGTTTATCTCATGGCACTCAGGAAGCAAAAAGGAAAGGGAGGAGGAAAAGCAGGAGATATGCTCTTTCATGTCACACCTCCAGCGTCCCATCTTCCCTGGCCATGCCCCACCTCTTACCAACAAGTCAGGTATGGTGTCCCCATGGTCCAATTCTCTTCTGAAAGACCTTCTTATGAGCAGGGGAGACTCTTAGGGGAACATCTAGTTGTAACCATAGCAAGGTACATTGGTGTTCTTTTATATCTTCCTACTGGCTGGGAGTTGGGAACCAGAGATTAAGCTGCCCTAAACTCTTTGTTAGGATGACAGAAATGTTGATGTACCCTGGAACAACACCCCACATCTGGACTGTTACATGATAGTGTGATAAATATTTGTCTTTTATTAGGTCATTGCATTTGATGTCTATTTAAATGTTTGCATATTCAGAGGGAAGTTAGAGTCACTATAAGGCTAAATATGTGCACCTGGCTTAGCAATTAAACATCAAAATTTGAGAATATAAAAATTACTCATTAAAAATCCAACAATCCATATGATCTAGTGATTCTCTGACCATTAACCCAATTTGGTAAAACTCTGCTTCTGATAGTTATGCTAATGAAATATGATGGTAACCTCTAACTGTAGCAAAACTCTTCAGAAAATTTAAAATATTGTTGTATGCAAGCTGAATGCTTGCATCATCTAAACACTAGGAAAGAAATAGAAAAAAGCAGGTGAGAGAGATTTATGTTTTGATAGGAGAAGTTCTCATCACCTATCACCGAAAATTTAAGTCAACTGTTACATGTGTCAAGTAATTTTGAAATTCACACATTGGAAAGCCTGGGTTGCTTAGCTCTAAGTACAGTGAAGGACCTGAGCCTGCTTAGAGAACTTTCTGTCTGATTTAAGTGATCTTGAGTAGACAACGAAAGCCAGCCAAGGACTTAGACTAAATTTAAAATATTACTTTTTAATTACTGTTATTTACAATAGCCCCAACGTAGCTGCTATTCAATTCAGGAAAAGAAATGGGTCAGCTCACACATCAGAACCTATAAAGCATCTGGACAGGTTTAAGATCAATGAAGAGACAAGATCCTTGGCTGTAGTTAATTTCATATGAAGCTGTCTGCAAACATGTGCACTGGAAGCCTACTAGTTTGAGATGCTTATATTGGCAAAGACGTTGAAATGTTGAATTACAAATGTGAATGGTTAATCTACTCCAAGTAAATCCTGATCCTCTAATCCACAAAAAAATGCTGTGCAGTCCCCATTAAGCATGTATATGGCACAAGGCAGAGTTCCAAAATGGACAAATGACAGTGGATGTGAAAAACTCACTGAGATCACATGTGAGACAGACAAGAAGCACCTGTCTCTCATTTTTCCTGTGCTGGGTATGGGGAGTGTGGCTTGACTGGTGGCTGTCTGCCCCTCCCATTTTCTCCCCTTTGCTCCCATTTTCTCCTCTTTGCAGCCCAGTGGGCTGGGTTGGTTTACTTCATTGCCCTTCCTGGAAATTTAGCAGTGCTTTCCCTGGCTGTCAACCTGCCATTCTCTGCTCCAACAGGAATGCAGCCAGGCCACGTGGTGTCTCTTCCCATCTCTGCCTACTGCAGCTGATATTGTTTGGTTTTGGGGAACAGAAAAGGCACTCAGGAGTATCTAAGATCAGAAAGGGGAGGATCTGTGTCCCTTATTGGTATACCCAGCTTTTACAGAGAAGCCTACCAAGAGATTCCCTGGCTTCAACCCTCCCTCACTGAAACAGTTCTGTGAGCTGCTACATAAGCAACACTTACCAAGCACTCCAGGGGTTTAGTCTAGGAGGGTTCCTTCCTGTGGTATAGCCACCTTGTGCTGAAGCACAGGCCCTGTTTAAAATAAAGACTTGCTGTGGTGTTCCTATAAAACTGCTTATGATTTATTTTTCAAGTAGTATGGGCTCCAAACAGTCCTATAAATCTACTCAAGATTTTTATCTTGAGTATAGTGAGTCCCCAACTTACTTCTTCCATTCTGGGAAACTATTTGTAAGGCAAAGAAGTGAGTCTTACACAGTATATCTGTGAAAGTTCACAATTTGAATATTCATAAGTTGTGGACTTACTGCAGTGTGGACAAAGTGAATAAGCAAGGCTGTTAACACTGACGAGATGGAGCTCCAGAGATCAGCAGTCAACAAAAAATAGCAGTTAACAAACACCAGTAGCCATAACCCAACACTGACAGAGTGAACCTACAGTGTAGAGCACAAACTGATATCAGACAGTGACAGCCAGCAACAGCAGTGACTCTGTACTTGGCAGACACAACTTACAGCGTTCAGCACAAGCTGGCATCAGACAGTGATGCCAGCAACTGGCTATGTCAGTTGTGGTCATTCAGGACTACTACAGTTTGCAGATTTATGATTTCCATTTGAATTGAGCAAAAGAACCCTCAGCTGATTGGCTAGGCATGGAGGACAATAGAGAGTTCTTCCAGAGAGTAGAAAAAGATGCTAGCCAGCACTCTTTACTGCCTGGGCAAAAAATCTTTCCAACTTATTCTTAGAGACTCATTATTATTATGACTGTGCTTATTTATCCTTTTCCAAGTGGGAATTGGTAGTTCTCCTATTTCTTATCCATTTTTGAATATGGTAGGCAAGGATTATTTGTAACTATCTGTTATTTTATGCATTGTTAGATCTACCATTTCCTGCACACTAATTTGCAAATATGGTAAAAATATTTATTTAATGAAAAACTGAAGAAAACGTACCAGAGTTAAGTGGAAAAAATCACTTGTAATTTTGAAAATAACTCTAAGGCAGAATGAAAATCAGGCAAACTTGGTGCAAGGTATTACTGGAAACAACAGATTAGAATAATACATTGTAGTACTGATTCTGCCTTATTTATAGACGTAATATATAAAATATATAGAAAGAAAAAGCTTAAGAGTTCACCAAAACATAAGACAAATATTTTTTTGTGTAAATGTGGTAATATTTAGTGCAAAGTGTTGTGCTCTGGTATTCAGCTTTCCTGCTGCTGGGACAAAACACCTAACATTCACAGTGTAAAATAGGAGATGTTTCATCTGGCTCACAATTTGCAGGGTTTGGTCCATAGTCTGCTGGCTCCAAGGCAAAGGTGACATAGCGAAAGGATATGGCAGAGGAAATCTGTTCACCTCATGGCGCCCAAGAGGCAAGGTGGACAGGGGGTGGGACTGGGTAGGGAGATATACCCCCTAAAGGCATAGTGCCAGTGACCCACCGTTTCGAGCCAGGCCCCACCTCCTAACAGGGCACTTAATTATGAACTCAACAATGGATCGATCCACTGATGAGTGTAGAAACCCCATGGTCCACTTACCTTCTAAAAGCTCCACTTCTAAACACGTGAGGCTTTAGGGAAACATTGTAGTTCTAAACCATAACAGGTGCTGCTGCTTCCCTTCAGGTTTATAACTTCTTAATATTGGCTTCTGGTGGTAGGAAGAGCAGTTTCTTTGGCCTGCATTTATGAGAGGGATTGAGGGTGTTAGCTATTTCCACAGCTTCAAGATTCTTTCCAAGAGCTTGGGCCTAATAAATCTCTCATGCATATGGGTTTCAGTTCTCAGCATTCGTAAGTGCTGAGTTACCTGTTAGGGCCCCAACAGGTAGGAAATAGAACCTCACAACAAGGAGAGAATAGGGGTGAAAATTTAAAAAATTTTTTTACAAAATGAGACTGCAAACTAAAATTCCAAAATATAACAAGAAATAGAATGTTAATAACAATGCCAAAAAATTCTATTATCAGTAATTTAACTTACTCCATGTTAAAATAATACATGGAATAAACAAAAAACTTTTAAATTACTTATTTTTTATTTTAAAGAGTAAAGAACAGAAACAAAATAACAAAACAAATGACAAAAACAACAAAACACAAAAATAATATGGAATTTCAAAAAGATGATAGGGAATTAACAATGGTTATTGTATTACATACAATTATCTTCAAAGTAGTAGCTCAGATTACCAGATATAGGTATGCAAGACTAATCAAACAATTAAACTTTAACTGTTCCTTTCAATAAACCAATAGATATTAGTAGTACAATTATCTTATATGTATATACATATAGATATATGTAGAGATATATCTATCTATCTAGATAGATAGATAGATAGATAGATATAGCTAGATAGATATAGATACACGTTTCCCTTCCTTCTTTCTTTCTTTTCTCCTTTCCCTCATCCTAGTTGTTCTTTCCTTTTGAGCAGTTTCTTTTCCTTTCACAATATTGTTAGTGCCCTTGCGATTCACTGTAAATTCATTCAACATGGATAATTGGTGCATATACACATTACATTTTAATCCTTTCTTTTCTCCTTTCCTTCATTCCCCTCTTCTCCCTCCATGGCTATATTTCCTTCATTTACCTGACAAACATTATATATATTTATTGTTTTGAAATATGTGTACATTGTGGAATGGTTAAATTAGGGTAGTTCACATATTCGTTATTTCATATACTTATAAGTTTTGATAATTTGGAACACTTAAAATCTACCTCTGTGATTTTTCAAGAATACAAGAATAGTTATTAGCTAGACCCACCATCTTATACAATACAACTTTTGATTGTATTCTTCCTACCTAACTGGAATTTTTTATCATTTCACTAAAATCTCTCCAACAACTACCTCCTAAACTTTATGAAAAATATACTTAGGTCCAAATGCAATCAATCAAGTGATTCATTCCATCTGAAATATCTTATTCAATAACAAGAAACTATGTAAGACACCAAATTCACACTAAAAATCATTAGCTTTTCTATATATCAATAATGAATTAGCTGAGAAAAAAATCAGGAAAAAATTCCATTCACAAAATAAAAATGGCTAGGAATCTATGTGACAAAGCAGGCAAAAGATCTCTACAAAAATTGTAGAATACTGAAGAAAAAAATTTACAAAAGATTGGAAGGTGGAAAAACCTCTTATGTTCATGGATCAGCAGAATTAGTATTATTAATATAGCTCTGCTGCCAAAAGATATCTACTGATTCAATGAATCCTCATGAAAATTCCAATGACATTCTTCATAGAACTAGATAAATCAATCCAAAAGTTCATATGGAGAAGCAAGAGACCTAGAATGGGCAGGGCAATCCTAAGCAAAAACAGCAAGGCTAGAAGCATCACATTACCTGATTTCAAATTATACAACATAGTCACATTGAGAGAAAAAGACAAAATAAAACAAAACCAGAATGATACTGATACAAAATATAGATGCATAGACCAATGGAATAAGATAGAAGACAGAAACAAATGCATGTGATTACAATTTTCTGATTCTTGATAAATGAGCCAAAAGCATACACTGGAAAAAAGACAACTTCTTTTACGGCTGATACTGGGAAAAGTGTATATCTATATGTAGAATTTTAAAACTAGATTTCTATTTCTCACCCAGTACAGAAATCAATTTGAAATGGATCAAAGACCTTAGTATAAGACCCAAAAGGTTGAAGCTCCTAGAAGAAAATACAAGGGAAACATTTAAAATTATAGGCACAGGAAAAGACTTCCTGAATAGGAATTCCATAGCATAGGAAAGAATAGTAAAAATCAACAAATGGAACTACATCAAATTATAAAGTTTCTGCACAGCAAAAAAAAACAACAAACAATATGAAGAAACACCCAACAGAATGTGAAACAAATCTGTTAGCTACTATTGAAACAGAGGATTAATACCTAGGATACATAAAGCACTTACAAAACTTAACGCCAAAAATTCAAATAGGCTAATCAAAAAATGGGCAAATGAAATGAACAGATACTTTTCAAAAGAACAAGGACAAATGGCCAATAAATATATGAAAATGTTTAACATCTTTAGCCTTCAGTGATATGTAAATCAAAATTACATTAAGATTTCATCTCACTCCAATCAGAATGGCTATCATTAAGAATATGAAAAGCAATAAATGCTGGCAAAGGAACCACTCAACATTGGTGGTGGGAATTTAATTAGTACAGCCATTGTGGAAATCAGTATGGAAATTCATTGAAATATTGAAAACAGAACTGCCTGGTATGTATCCAAGGAATGAAAGTAGCATACTGTAGAAATGCCCACATACCCATGTTTCTTGTGGCACAATTCACAGCAGTCAGCATACTGAACCAGCCTAGGTGCCATCAACAGATTAATGGATAAAGAAATTGTGGAAAATATATTCAAACAAAATCTTGTAATTTGCAGGAAAACAGATGCAACTGGAGGTCATGTTAAGTGAAATAAGCCATATTCAGAAGAACAAGTATTATGTGTTTTCCCTAATACATGGAATCCAAAAATAATGACACAGAAATAGAGGAAAACTATCACAGAAAAGAGAAAGAAAATGAGGGAGAGAAGAAAGAAGGTGAAGGGGAGGATAACAGGAAGGATAAAAGGGCTATTAATTATATCATAAAAATATCATGATGTTGACATGAATGTATTGAAATGAAACATGTCCATTAAGTGAGACAGTGGGTTACAAAATAGCATAAATGGCACAGTTAATTTTAAATTTTCAAAATGCATTAATTTATAAGGATAGCAAGAGATGGTGCAGAATGGTGTGCATGTAACTGCTTTAGTCTGCTTCTGGGCGTGTGATGCTGAGCATATTTTTGTTTAAGAGTACTTTTTCACTTGTGCTATTATAAAATGTGTCTTAGTGAAGGAAATTAAGAATTTTTGTAAGTATATGAAGTGACGATATATTAATTTGCTTGACTGCAGTAATCACTTTACAATATATACCTACCTGAAAACATCTTAAGTAATTTATCAGTTATGCTTAATAAGTTAAAATACTATTAAGAAAAATTAGGGCAGAAATGAGACAAGAATTTAAAATAGTGAATATAACTTCTGAAATGGGAACATATACATATTAATATGGAGTATTCTACTTAGAGTTGGAGGCAGAACATATAAAATGGTAAGGGAGAAGACTCTCAAAACAAAAAAAAATGAAGATATAGAAAAATATAAAATAAATAGCCAACATACACCGAAGCTACCTCAAGAAGCATAAATTATTCGGCATTTGAAAGGAAATGAATGCCTATTTCAGAAACAATGAGAATGGCAAGTACAAGGTAATATTTAAAGTTTATCCAGAATTAAAAAGTACAAATACTAGAAAAAGTATATTCTGATTACTAAGCTAAAGAAAAATAAGAGACTTCACAGATCATCTGAAAACCCAAGGAAGTGTTTTAATAGTTAACCAAGAAAAAAAGTGGAGTTCCTATAAAGTAACTAGACTTAGACTATCTGCCGTCTTATAACCAGGAATAAAGAATGTTATCTGAACATCTTAAAAATATATTTGAAGGCGCCGAAGAAGATGTTGTTCAAGAAATGTGGAGCATGACAAATTACCACTAAAGAATAAGGCAAGATTAAGACATTTCAGAATATAAAATAACTATGACAATTTGTGACTCATGGGGTCTAATTAAAGTAGCTATTAAAATGTACTTCAGGCAGGGGATTCAGTTGAATGGTAACCGCATGTCCGAAAACACACACGCGCTATAAGAATGGTACTTCGACAAAGCGTTGTGAACCAGAGACAGAGTAAGATATAAACCATAACACAGCAACAATGGAAACAGAAAAATGTATTAGGAACTTAATTAAATATTGACCATAAAAGCACACAATTTTTCTATTTCTTTAAAAAGTGTAAATTAAATGCGCTTAGCAAGAACAAGAAACAATTCAACTTATATTTAAAGCACTGTAAAAGCTTTGCCATTTATAAGAGAAAAAAAAGTCCTGATTTTATATGGGTTTTGTTAAATTAAATTATGCATGTTTAAAATTTCTAGCAAATGCTAAAAAATGTATTACTTGGTGGTACAGAAAATGTTATAACAAAGGTAAAGTAGGAATATCTACTGAAGATAAATATACACTTACAATAAATATGAGTGTATATGGTTTACAAAAGATATAAGAAATTTTCTTGTAATGTAACAGTCCTAAATTGGAAATAACAAAAAAGTTCATAACAGTAGACTGAATAAATTATTGTCTATTCATTCAATGGAACATTACACAGATAAGCAACAGCTACATTTAACATGGACTAAAACATACATCTATTGTCAAAGCTATGGCACTTTAACTTTACCGCATACTGTTCCTATAAATAACAACAATCATATGTGGTGAGTAGAAAGGGAAAGAAAAATAGGGAGGAAAGAAAAATAAGAAGGGAGAGTAAAGAAAGAGAAGGAGAAAGAAAAGAAGGAAGGAGAAAGAAGAGAGAAGGGAAGGAGTGGTGGAGGGACAGAAGGAGGAAAAGAACAGGGAAAGGAAAGCGAGCATGCAATAAAGCATTCTTTTATATATCTGGCTTTTATAAATAATTTAATTTATTTTACAAATAATTTGTTCAGCAGAGGTGAACGCTGGCTAAGCTTTGTTTGAATAAGGACAAA